GTGCCGTTTCTATCAAAGTGCACTATATATTTGGATTTTATAGTGTACACATCTTGACACTGCTCTATTAGCTTACTTTCAGGAATATATTAAGAATCAAACACTATCATAAAATATTCTCATAAGTCAAAACATATTTAGTATTCTTTTTTAAATTGACATTTTCCCCCTGAAATTATTTTCCCAGAAATACCACCAGTTTTCCCTTTTTTTCGTTGTTTTCTAAAATTTAGAATAATGACAGATGAAAATGAAGAAAGGTCAGGAAAGCAGCTCAGTAACTAATGCATTCTTCTTGCATTCTAGTCTTCAGAGGCCAGGTTAATGAGAATTTGGAAGAGTAATTAGTATTTAAGACCCAGTCAAACATTTATTGTAATGTGATACTATTCCCTATCTTCAGTTTTAAAACTAGGAGTTTGGCCAAATATAAACTGTTGGAATAAGTAGATGCCTGGAAAAATAGAAGTCTCCATTAGCTTGCTGAAATATATTTTCTGTCTCATTCCAAAATCCTGTAATTCTCCATTGCAAGAAAAATAACTTCTGTATTGTTCCAAAACCCATATGAAATATATGCCCAGAGGACAACCTCTGATACATTTGTGCAAAGAGATCATATATCTCATTCTTTAATCCACCCAATGGAAAAAAAACAAAATAAAATCAAACCCTAGATAGTGCATCAAAAACAGTGCTGGGGCAAGGGGCAGCGAGGAAAAAGATTTGTACTATCTCGTCAGTAAAATGAATGCTCATACTTCAAGTGATTTGCATAGTAAATTCTGATTAGGTTTGGTAAGATATATATGCTATAAAAATATATTTCTTATCAGACTACATCTGTTTTTTTCATACTATAATATAACTTATAAATTACCACTCTTCATTCCTTTTTGTACTTATTAACTAAACTCCAGAACAGATTAGGTTTCATATTTCTGGGTAAATGATCAAAATCCTTCTTCTTCCTAAAACCCCCTCAAAATAAACAAAGCTCGATCTTTATGCAGTACATAGCCTATTAAACCACTACACTTTCTTCTGGCCAAAGTGATCAGTACATCCTTTAGTGATTAGAAACCTCTGAGGAACTGGGTTTCTCAGAAACTTGTGCTACAGTAATGTTAACTGGGATTTTGCAAAAATAGGAATCCTTGCCCAAATGGTTTTGAGAACCAGTACACAAAACAAAACACGTCTCTTCACTCAGCATTTGAGTTCTCAGAACTTGAACATACTATTTACTGTAAAGTGATCATCTCTGAGAAGAGGATGCATAAAATGTGAATTTATCATTCTAACTGAACTAGAAAATACCTTTTCATGGCCCAGAAAGAGTAGAAAAGAATACCGAGAGACCCTATACATGTAACCCTTAACATAGGGTTAAAAAAGGTTCTAAGTTGTTAAATAGTTTATAATAAAGATCAAAACTTGTAAGAGTTCATTGTTGTTCTACTAATAAATAGAATAAGGACGTCATTTTTTTGAAGGGAAAATTTTAAATTTCAAAACAAGACATATGTATCATTAAAGCAAAAAAAAAAAAAAAACCCAACTAAGTTAATTTCAAATAAAGAGAAGTTTGTGGCTAGGCTAAGAGGTAAAATAAAAAAATCTAACCAGGGAACCCACACAAAATTTCAGGAAAGGATCTTTTGCTTTCTGGTAATACAATTTATAAAGATCTCAAAAAGGAATGGGCTTATAATTCAAGGACATGCCTATCTCAAGATTAGCTCTCTTTTCAAACCTAGACATTAAATAATAAAATTCACAAAGTTTCACAAAATTCAAAATGGATAAAATTTTTAAAAGAAAGTATGTCAAATGATAACTTATAGACGTAGTTATGAATGCACCAAGTTTTATTTTTCTGTGGGTGGCTCTATCTGATCCTAAGAGGAAGAAGTTTATGGCAGTTTAATGGGGGGGGGGGCGGAGAGAGAGAATGTGGCTACCACTGAGTCACAGGGAGACTGTAACTGGTTTTTTGAAAGTTGACAATGCTTAAATCATAAGCATATGTGCAGTAAAGATGTTCCCACTCTTGTTTCTCATATGAGCTGTATTAGTCACTTTGTTTTCCCCCCAAGTTGATAACAATAACATTCTGTGGATTCTGTGGTTTTCAGGAAAAAAAAATGGTAAGGTTTATATTTTCAAACCCCCAGTTAAGAAGAAATTTTTCAATAAAAGAGAATACAGATAAACAGAGATGCTGGTTGTAAGCAAAATTTCAGCTATGGGACACCCAAATTCTCCACATACCAAGCAATGTAAAGACAATATGGGATATATAATCTAAAAAATTTTTGAGGTTGACTTCCCTTATATCCAATTATTCTAATAGATTGAGATTTTTTATTTTGCAGTGCCAAATCAGATGAAATCAACACAACTTTGGAAAGACTGTAGGTCTGTTGACAAGAACCTAATGTCCTATAACAGTTTTATGACACTGTTTCTGCTGCTTTAGAAGCTTTATTCTCTGGGGGCTTTTTAACTGTGCTCTCATGTGTGCCCCAGGGACCTTATTTGGTTAAGTGCCTGTTAACCCTTTCATGTCAAGTATATCCTATTTTTATAATTGAAAAAGAAAAGTGATTTTTCAGTGGAAATGTGTTTTTTTGTTGTTTGTTTTGTTTAGTTGTTGTTTCTTTTCCAGGGGAAATGTTTTCATCTTTACCTTGCTTAATTCACTGCTCTGTTTGGTCCCATTAATTCCCTCTTTCCTGAAACACTTGTCTTACTGATGCCTTTCCAGCAGTAAGTTGGTGTTTCCCAATGCTCGCTAACATTGAAATATGGGGAGAATATAAAATTATTTTATGCTTACTACCTGCTTTTTTAAAATTTCTATTTGGATTTCTCTTATGATATTGCTGCGCTATGCTTAAATTAAAAAGAAAGAATGGAAAGCACATATTTATAAATTTATTAATTGCAAAAAGTTCTATCATTAATAACAAACTGCAACAGGAAAGAGACTAATAACTTACATGCTAATAGTTCTCTAGCTCTGCAGTAAACTTAAGAAAGTAAAGATTTTTACAATGAAATACAGCACATTAAGTCTTAAGACACAGACATATCAGTTTTGAAATAAAATGAACCCCACCTCAAGGAAATACTTAAAAGATGAATGATAGCATTCCTTTAGAAGAAAATATAGCAATTAACATTGTCTCAAATATAACTTTTAATATATTTTGTGAATTAAATGATGAAAATAAGGCCAGTCACTTAGATATTTGTTATCTTTTGTAAACAGAATATTTACATTCTCATATTCACTCACTATAAGAGGCAAAATATATAAGTAACAGACCATTTACCTACTACAACTTTGATGATAATGTATGAAATTCAACGGCTTTTGAACCTGAGTATAAATCTTCTAACAGGCCTAGATTTCAGCCCCACTTTAATCAAAATCAACCAATGATTCTACACTAGCAAAAACACATTGAAAACCAATGCTCACATGCCCACCACAAGTATGTTAGCTCTGGGTCTTGGGTAATTACAGGTCAAGGAAGATCAGAGATAAGGTTAGGCTTAAGGTAACGCAACATGGAGAAAAGATTCATATAGGACACGATAAGGCAAGGTCACAGTTTGGGCTGTCAAACTAAAATTGAGAACAAAAATAAGATTTAGAATCCAACTCAGTTTACCAGAAACTTCCTATCCTCCTGGACCTTTTACCATCTGCATCCCAGACTTCTGAATCTAGGGTCAGGATTCCAGTATGACATCCAGTAAACAGCTTGGATGTGGACACTCCAGTCATTACAACAAGAAAAAAAGCTGAACAAACTCAAAATAGTATCTTCTTAATCCAGTTTTGCTGCCCCCAAAACTGAAGAGACAAACAAGCAAACACAAAGAATCACAGCTTACCTGGAACAGAAGGCCAGGAGCAATCCCTGCAACTGGAGCCAATATCTGTGCCAATGCTTTCAACTATAATTGACGAATATTTGGCAGCTCAGTGTAGACTAACCAGAGAGTTCACAACTCCTAGGTGGGGAGAGGGGGCAGTCTTGGGGAGAACCCACCTACAGTTTTGCCTCCAGGAACCTCACCAGGTTCTCACTGGGAAGACTGGAGAAATCCTCTTATGCTTCCAGCAGAGGAATAGAAAAACTAAGCTTTTGAAATACACCCAGAGTCCTCAATTCTCCTTTTAAAAGGCTCCTCTACCCTTCAACCTGGAGACAATGAAATACCCAACTCCAGCTCCCTCTAACTTTTAAAATGAGGAAGGGAAATACCCATCTTAGGCTCAGTAAAAGACTGAGACCTAAACATAGGGTTATAATATGCTTCCGTTCCCCCCACATCTTATTACTACCTCAACAGGGCTCCAATAAATAACAGGAGATTACAACTAAAAGAACTGCTAGCCTCAAACTCTACTTAATAAATCTGTGAGGAAATCCCAAAGACATGGGGGAGATAAGCGACACTGAGGAAAATGTATCCTCTAACACTACAGCTATAGCAAATAGTAAACACAGCCTAACTGCTAGCTAAACCAAAACCCTCACTCTGAAGGCCTTAGTTTCTTTTACTTTGTACCATCATGTCCATCTTTCAACAAAAAGTTACAAGGAAGTTAAAGGGTAAAAACTATAGTCTGAAAAGACAATGCAAGCATCAGAACTAGAATCAGATATGATAGAGCTTTTGGAGTAATCAGACCAGGAATTTCAAGTAACTATGATTAATATGTTAAAGGGCCTAATAGATAAAATAGTAGTAGACAATATGTAAGAACATATGGGTAACATTAAACAGAAGAGATGATAGCTCTAAGAAAGAATGAAAAAGAAATGCTAGAAATATAAATGAAGTAATATAAATGATATATAAATGAAAATTGCATTTGATGGATTCATCAATAAACTAGACATGGAGAAGAAAAAAAATTAGTGAGCTTGAAGAAATGTCAATAGGAATTCCCAAACCTGAAATGCAAAGAGAAAAAGAACAGAATACACAAGAACTATGGGACAATTACAAAGAGTGTAACATATGCTAGCAGAGTACACACAAGAAGAAAAGTAACTGCACTAGATGATAAAGACTGGGGTGGACCTCTTTCTTAATGTCCAGTGTCCTTTGTCTTAAAATTTGGTGCAACATGTGAAAAAAAAAGAGTGTAACATACACACAATGGATATAACAAGGAGAGTAAATATTTGAGATAATAATGGAGAACAATTTTTATTAATTAAGATTAATGATAGACACCAAACTACATATCCAAGAAACTCAAAAAACACCAACAGGATAAATACCAAAAAAAAATCTATAACTAGGTATATCATATTCAAAATGTAGAAAATCAAAGGCACTGATTTGAAAGAATCCAGAAAAAAAACACACACCTTATCTACACAGGGAAAAGATTAAGGATTACACCAAGAAGAAACTAAATTGAAATATTATAAGTATTAAAAGAAAGTATTAAAAGAAAAAAACCAACCTAGAATTCTGTAGCCAGTGAAATTATCTTTCAGAAGTGAAGGAGAGATACTTTCTCAGACAACCAAAAATTGAAGGGATTTGTCACCAGACCTGCCTTGCAAAAAAGTTCTGCCTGTTGACCTCCTTTACCCTTTACTAGCTCCCCCCATCTCTTTCTTTTTATACTAGGCTAGAGGCCCAGTGCACAAAAATTCATGCACTCAGGCGGAGGGGAGGCCCTCAGTCCAGCCTGTGCCCTCTCACAGTCTGGGACCCCTAGAGGATGCCCACCTGCCAGCTTAGGCCCACTCCCTGGCAGTAAGACATCCCTCTGGCAGCCTGGGAGCCCTCGGGGGATGTCCGACTAACAGCTTAGGCGTACTCCCCACGGGGAGTGGGCCTAAGCCAGCCGTGGGCAAACTACAGCCCGCGGGCCAGATCCAGCCCATTTGAAATGAATAAAACTAAAAAAAAAAAAAAAAAAAAAAGACCGTACCCTTTTATGTAATGATGTTTACTTTGAATTTATATTAGTTCACACAAACACTCCACCCATGCTTTTGTTCCGGCCCTCCGGTCCAGTTTAAGAACCCATTGTGGCCTCGAGTCAAAAAGTTTGCCCACCCCTGGTAAGCCATTAGTCGGACATCCTTAGTGCTGCCTCGGAGGCAGGAGAGGCTCCTGCCACTGCTGCTACACTAGCCAGCCATGAGCCGGCATCTGGCTGAGCAGCGCTCCCCCTGTGGATGTGCACTGACCACCAGGAGGCAGCTTCTGCGTTGAGTGTCTGCCCCCTGGTGGTCAGTGCACGTCACAGCAACTGGTCATTCCTGGTCGTTCTGCCGTTAGGGTCAATTTGCATATTACCCTTTTATTATATGGGATAACTCCTTGGCTTTCCTTTATTTACAGTATCTGTTAGATACTGTGTCTTTTAGAACTCTGTGTATTCCAAGTTTTGGCTCCTCCAATTGTTCTTTTTGCTGCACATGTTTTGGGAAGATGGTGAATAAATTAAACAAATAAAAAACACTGCCCATAATGGTGAAATAATTGACCCAATAACCCACTGTCTAAACATGTGGAAGTGTGACAAAATTTCTATAACCCTGGCCTCACCATGAACACATGTATTGGGCATTAGTTGATTATAAGAACTCTGTGCAGGTGCATCTGATAATACTAGCAATATATATCTCCAGTGCCCAGAACAATACCTGGCACATAGCAAGCATTCATTATTTCTTAAATGAATTGATTTTTTTTAAAAAAGAATATTTAATACCTGGTGAGAAGTAACAAATAATATTTTCTAAATATTATTTGTCAACTTGCTATAATACCCATCTCACAAATAAAATTAAGTCTTCTATATTGGTCTGCATTTCTGAAATCTAACTTTACAGAAGTATTACGAGTATGCCTGGGAAACATCTTACATCTGGCATATTACCAGGTGTTGCGACCAGGTGTCTAAGTCTTTAAATATAAAACACTCACTTGTCTCACTTGTGAAAAAATACTTTAAAAGTTTTCCAGATATGTATGCAGATTTAGGCAGCCTTACCCCATGATTAAAAACAATTTCATAGGAATTTAATACAACTTTTCAAAATATCAAGACATGATAGTGAACTCAAATGGCTGAAATGAGCAAAATCTGCTCCTAATTTTAATTTCATATGGTTTGGCACTTAAAAAGAACAGTTAATACTAAACTATTCTTTTTGTAAAAGTCAGAAGAGACAAGCTAGATAAGTCTTGTCTGACAACTCATCTTCCCCAGGTTACTTATTAGACACTGTTTCTTATATTCTTACATACCTTAAACTCATTTCCACTGAAGGGCTTACTGAAAATGTCTGTTTATTTATCTCTCTTCCCAACAATACTGAGTTCCTTAAAAGCATTTTGCAAAATGAATGCCTGATACATATAGGTGCTCAATGTGTTTGCTGAATAAATAAATAATCCAAGGTACTCTAAATATTGTCTTTGACTAAGTTTATAGAAATCATTTGTATGAGCGGGGACAACTCTACTATAGGGATACCTAATTTCTCTTACTATACATGAGTCAACAACGTTTGGATTTTTTTTCCTTTATCCTCACTATTATTTATTTGTTTTCCAATATGTCAATACAGCTTATCCAGAAAAAAAGTTTAACTTAGCTAAAAAAATATGGGTATGACTGTGAACCCACATTCACATTAAGACCTGTCTAGGCTGTATAGCATGCTCTTTTCCTACATATGGCATATATATTTGCTTGTTCTGTCTTTTCTTAACATCAGAATGCTAAGAATGAAAAAAAGTACATAGGAGTACAATATATTATAAAACTAACACAACAACCTTAACCACAAGAGTATAATATACATTTAACAGCCATTGAAAACTTATTATGTGCCAGAGATGGTCAAAATCAAGAGACTTGTTTTTTTCTGTTTTGTCCTTTCACCTGAAACAAAAAGCACGAAAGCTTTATTCTCATTAACTCCCAGCTTTAAGTTCAAATGTAAAACATCTTAATATAAAATACTTTGAAACCAGATACAAACTGAATGAATCCAACAAATATTTACTGAGTATTTCCTAGGAGTCAGGCTCTAGGGGTAGAGCAGTGAACCAAACAGAAAAAAAACCCAAAACCTTGCCTTCATTGGATTCATACTGTATTTATTTAAGACAGATAATAAATAAGTAAATTATACAACATGTTCTATGGTGATAAGTAGTGTAGAGAAAGCCAGCCAGTATGAAGGGTGCAATTTCGAGTATAGACCTGAAGGAGGGAGGGGAAAGGGAAAGAGAAATGCCTGAGGGTTAAGACAACAGCAGGGCAAAGAACCTGAAAGAGTGTATTTGAAGTGGACAAGAAAGAGCAAGATTTGGAATGCACATTGAATGAAACTTCTGTTGAATTCACGCACATTTCCTATATGCTTATAATTCAAGTACCAGAAATATCTTCAAACTGTTTTATTTGTTTAGGGAAGTTAAAATGTTTAGGGAAAGAGAAAAATGCATAGTTTTCAAACAAATCACCTAATTTTCCATAGCTTCCTTCTCAGTTATTAGGGTTTATTGTCATGGCTAAATGTGTAAAATCCAGCCCGAAGCTTACAGCTATTGGCATTTCTATTTTCACCCGGACAGCGACAGCTGCGTTTGTAAGTGGTCTGAACACAGACTGTGCTGCACATGCCACATTATTTGCACGGACACATTTGGATAGCATTGCTTTAAATCAGACAGGAATGCAACGTAATGAGTAAGCCCATGGGCTCTGGAGCCAGACTGACGTTGAATCTCAGCCCTGTCACTTTCTAGTTGAGTAGCTATAGAAAAGTCCGTAATCTCTCTGTGCCTCTATTTCTTATCTGAAAAATGGGGATAACTAATTGTAAGAATGTCATAGAACTGTTTTGAGGATTTAAAGTATTTAAATTAGAACACAGCCTGGTATATACCATAAAAATGCATTAGCTGTGGGAGTGAGTGAAAAAGGTGAAGGGATTGAAAAGTATAGGTTAGTAGTTACAAGACAGTCATGGGGATGTAAAGTACAGGATAGGAAATATCTCTATATATAAAAGCCTAAGTGACCAAATGACCGAACGATCTAACGACCAGTCGCTGTGATGCGCACTGACTACCAGGGGGCAGACGCTCAATGCAGGAGCTGCCCCCTGGTGGTCAGTGTGCTCCCAGGGCCAACTTCCCGTGGCCCCTCCCCCGGCTGACCAGCCCCAATGACCCCCATAGGGGCGGCTGGCCAACCTTCCATGGCCCCTCTCCCTGGCCAGCCAACCTCCTGTGGCCCCTCCCCCCGCTGGCCAACCTTCCATGGCTCCGATCGGCCCCAATCACCGGCCAGGCCGAGGGACCCCACCTGTGCACGAATTTGTGCACTGGGCCTCTAGTAGTCAATAATTTGTAATAACTAAATATGGTGTCAGGCAATTACTGGAAATATGAGGCATGAAACACTTTGTAAAGCATACAACTATCTAACAACTATGCTGTGTACATGAAACTAATATAAAATAATTTTGAATGTAAACTGTAATTTTAAAAACCTAAAAAAAAATGTATCAACTGTTATGATAGTTGTTATTATTAATATTGATGGAACACATCTGGTGGTTTTTATATATCATAAACACAATAAGAAGTAATTATGATTCCTTATTTTTATTTATTTATTTTAAAATATATTTTATTGATTTTTCACAGAGAGGAAGGGAGAAGGATAGAGAGACAGAAACATCGATGAGAGAGAAACATCGATCAGCTGCCTCCTGCACACTCCCCACTGGGGATGTGCCTGCAACCAAGGTACATGTCCTTGGCCGGAATCGAACCTGGGACCTTTCAGTCCGCAGGCCAATGCTCTATCCATTGAGCCAAACCGGTTAGGGCATGATTCCTTATTTTTAAATATTTGCTCTCTCTGGATGGCAACAGTAAAAATCATTCTTTAATTTCTGAAGATTCAAATCCATGATAAGATCTGAATGCATATCAAGTATTCATTCTTAAATTTAAACAGATATGTTTACATGTCAAGAAAACAAACAATGCATTAAAATTGAGTCAGCTTCTGATAATTTCTAAGTTGGAAAAGATATGCCTTTTAATACCCGATATTTATGAGTCCCCAGTCATGTGT